CAAACCACAGGCTTCATCTAGCTAATACTACTAGTTTCAGAGACAACAATAAAAAGGACCCAAAAAAAAAGTCAGATACAGTGTATTACCAAACCCAAGCACACAAGTTTGTGTGTATATATATATATATATATTCCATTTCATCTGAGGCCAGTTTCATATAATAAGAAATTATGAACAGAAAGGAATAATAGGGCCCATGATCATGAAGCTGAAGTTCTTGGTTGGCAACTATCTCGAACACAAGCCAAGACATCCCTGTAATCCCTTGAGATAGTGAAGGAATCGTAGACTTGACCATCACGGCTTTTCTTGTACTCAAATAGCAGAGATGAATGATTGAATGCTGTTAGTTTCACAAATCCGAAATCATAATCTCTATAAATACTCCAATTCGGAACCACATTGCTATATTTCGATAGGTGACTTCCTCCTCCGCCAACCACCACATGGATTGTTCCGTTCATGGTGCCTGAATAATGATGCTTTTCTCTGCTCATGCATGTATTCTGCACCGCCAAAAGAAACCAGTGTTACTGAGAATAGACTGCAAGTGTTGGAATACAGAAAAATTCAAGAAAAGAAAGATGGATTTTAAAGCAGAAGCATTTTATTAGTAAATCAAGGCGAGTGAATTGAATAGCTAATAGTACATTTTGAATTGAAAATGTGAATGGTACACATCTTGCAGAAAAACAAATTTCCATTATTCTTACTTGGTAGATGGGACAGGATCTTTCATAGTTATGAACGTGACCATAAAACGCAATGTCTACTTTGTACTTCTGCCAGAGTTTCTGCAGACTTTCTCTTCCCATGGGCTCTTCAAATGAGCCTTCCTGACCATACCAGTAGTCGGATGAATACCCAAGGACTCGATGAGATGCAAATATCAACCATGGTTGTTTTTTTCTATCCACTGATGCAAGGCAATGCTCAATGAAAGCATACTGTTCTGAACCCTCTCTCCAGTCATGTTCACTGTCTGCTATACAGAAGTGAAACATACCAAAATCGGTTGAGTACCTGCATATTTACACATTTTTATTGTTACCTACTGCCAAGACTTAACAATAAGAGGATATAGGAGAAAATAAAAAGCTACTTGATCGAATCACATAAATCTTTATGTTTAACTATTTCTTGCACTTTTGCTTGTTTATTTCATTCAAAGAAAGACAAGCTTCTTACTCTCGCAGGTGGAAAACTAAAGGGATACAGTTCATTAAGTTTCAAAGCCCTTAATGTGTAGTAGTTAGGAGTCAAAAGTTTAAGAAGTTCTTGGAACAGGATGGCCAAATTACTACTACTAAAATTAGAACTTAAATGATGGTCAAAAGTTTTTTTAAAAAAATATGAAGTATGAATTGTATTAATAAAGGTACCAACAAAGTCTCGCCTATTTACAAAATTTACAAATTAATCAATGTATCAACAAGTTCCACAAATGATGGTCAAAAGTTATTGAAGAATAAGTTTAAATCCTTGATCAAAAGGTTTTTATGTTAAAGTAAACTCGTATTTTCACCCAAACAATGTTATAACCATATATATCAAAACTAGTATGAAAGAGTAATATGGGAATTAGCTATAAGTGGAGTGGAAATTAAACCAAACAAGTCTGTCAGTGTAAACTCACTAAACTGATGGCAAATATTCAAAATCCTACACTATTAATTATCAAATAAAAAGATCTACAAGAGAATATATCTGAATTACCAAAACTTAGCTCTGTTTTCAGCAGGAACATAAAACATGGTCTCTGCAGGCACACCACATTCCCCACCAGAATCTGTTGTGCCATAGAAGGATCCTGTATTTGGCCAATCACGTTCATGATTACCGCTATAGAAGAAAACAAACAAATGATTCAATTAGCAGCACAGAACACATCTAGAATACTTCAAAAACATGTACTGATGACAACACCAACCTAGCAACCATGTAAGGAACAGTTGATGCAATAGGCTCTACTTGTGCTGTGAATTGGTCCCACTGTGAGAGGTACCCATTTGCATATGTTAGATCTCCTATGTGGAAAACAATGTCAATATAGTTCAAATCCTTAATCAGTTGGTCTGTGGTGTTAAGCGAGCCTGGCTGATAGTCACTGTACTCATTTGAACCATCACGCTCTGCCTGCAAAATGTTGGAGACAAAGTGAAAACCTTCCACAACTGACAATTAAAACTCCTAGTATTGTCTCAGAAAAAGACTCCTAGTATGGGCCTTAAGCAACCTTCCCAAGCAGGAGAGCCAATATATTTCAACAACCATAAAAAATGACATCCAAGATCAGGTAATGATACTGATTTTTAAAGTCAGCTGTGCAAGATTGGATCCAGTGTTTTTTATCTACAAGTTAGATATCAAATACCAGACTGCTGATAAAAAATTAACCCATAGATTTCTAATTGATGAGCATCAGGTCCTTGAAGTAGCATAAAGATAGAAAATTCACCAGTCAAACAAGCGTGCTAGAAGGGGGCAAATAAAGAAGATAAGAAAATAGAACAAGAAGTTTGGGATAGTAAGTTGTTGATACTACCTTACCCATATCACCGAATATTATAACCCGCTGTAATGAATCTTGTCCAGGATAAGGGGATGATGCAAATGAATAGGTCTTGCTCCACACAATTGAACCATTTAATAGGAGATGCCCCATCTTGTAAGTGTACCTGAAGATCATCATTGCAAAAGTTTGAAAATACTTGTGCTAGCCTTATAACCTTTTGCATGGCAAGATTCTTCACAATACATACTGGAAGTTCGGCCACAGATCCTTCAAGAAACTTGTATGAATGAAACCAGGATCACGCCAACCCAACTGACCTAGCTGGTGAGCCTGAAGAATGCAGAATGACAAGCTAACCTCATTAAATTTTTGAAATAAAAGAGAGAGAGTATTATTATGCATAAAGGTACCAAGGGGATACTACCTGAAAACACAAAATTATAAGTCGATTAGGTGGTCTATGACAGCCCCAATATCTTCCCAATTTACTATGTCATGACCAATTAAAATAGAACTAAAAATATGAAACCATTTATCCCTAATATTTACAATGTCTGTTTCAATACCCTTAAAAGTCCTAACATTCATCTCCCTCCAAACAACCCACATAATAGAAATTAAAATAAGGAATAAATATTTTTTTTTATATAAATCAGCCCAGGCCCACAACTCCTTGCTAACACCACCCGCATGGCCCACTTCATCCCCATAATCTCATACACGTACTCCCAAATTCTGTAAACCATAGGACAATGAAGTAACAAGTGATTGCATGATTCTTCTTCGGCCTTGCACATGTAACACCTATTAGTCATCATCATACCTCTTTTTCTCAACATATCAATGGCCAAGATTTTTTCTTTAACAGCTTCCCAAATGAAAAAAGCCATTCGAGACAGTGCTTTTGACCTCCAGATTTGCTTAAGGGGTGCTGTCTTGGCATTTTCCTCACCATTTTTTACAATAAAGTTATAGTAGGACTTCACCGAAAAACCTCTTTTCTTGTCCGGTTTCCAAATTCTTTTGTCTTTCACATTACCCCCCTTAAAAACAGCAAGTCACCGAAACAGATTCCAGAATCCTACCTCTTCTTCCTCCTTTAAATTTCTTCTAATCTGTATACACCACCCACTCCACCCCCCTCTCTCCCTTCTCAAATGCCTTCTCCACAAGAATATCCCTCTCACTAGCAATCTCAAAGATCATCGGGAATTTATCTTTCAATTTGAAGTCACCAGCCCACTCACTCATCCTTCCAGAATTTAATTTCAGCCCCATTACCTAGCTGCCAGCATAACAGTCATAAAAATTCTTGCTGTCAGTGCTGAATTTCTTCCACAAGATAACCTCATTAATGAATAGACCTCAATACCTATTCCAATGTGGTGTAGAAGAATAAAGAAGCATATGAAAATTTCTATCACATGATTATAGAACTGAGTCTCGTGAACAACTCTCTACCAGCAGCTATAAATTAAAATCCGCAACTCTGCTACCGAAGTTGTAATACCCAGCTGGGGAAAATAAATAATAATTTTAATTATAGGACCAAGAGAAATTATATCATTATTTCATAAAATTTATAGAGCTATCTTATAATCTACTATCACTATAAAAAGAATAACTATACATATAAGTTAACTGTTAGGTTTTAGTTAAAAAAACTCTGAAATTCTAGGAATAGAAAAGAAGACAAAGAAGAGAGCAGAAGAAGAAGAGGATGTCTGCAAAAAGAAGTTTAAGTTTCATAAACCTTAAATCAAAACTCTATTACATGATATCTAGACTTACAAGCTAAAAAGAAAGATTTACATATATGCAAGGGAGTAAAGATTTATTATGGCAGCAGCGTTCTGGCTTTTTTTTTTTTTTGGTCAATATTCTACCACAAACCTATTTTATTTATAACCTACATATTCTAAGCTTTCCATAAACACCAAGATTGCATGATTTGGATTAGAACTGAATAAGTTATGAGTTTTTTAAGATTTAGTGATATAGTAAAACACGAATCAAGAAACTTTACAGTCACGTTCTTCTAGCAATCTTTTAGCCTCCAAACTATTTTATTTATAATCTACAGTTAATAAGTTTTCCATAAACATTAAGACTGCATGATTGAATGAGTATTGGAGAACCTACGAATTTTGGGCACCTAAGGTTGCAGAAAACCGCAAACTGTGTGGCAGAAGGCTTTCTGGCCATTTTATGGTTCATCTGACTAATTCTCAACCACTAAACTAATTCATCCATAATCTATACATCATAACTTTTCCATATACACCAAGATTGCACAATTTGGATAAGAATTGAATGGGTTATGAATCTTTGAATATTTAGCATTGCTGGGAAACACTCAAATTGAAATAGCAGCTTTAGGATTCCGAATATCCATTATCCATTAACCTTTTTGATTGATTCCTTCTTCTAAATTATAGTTCTATATGTCTAGTTTGTGGGTTAAGAATCATTCTATTTAGATTAAGAAATCACTCTATTTAAGGGTTTTAAATTCTTTGAACTTTGAGGTAAAATCTCAATTTGAATGATTTACTGATTATTAAATTTTCAAGACTTATTTTGGTTAAGTTTAAGGTTTGTTTCAAACCTTACATATTTATGGAATTTTCTATATATGTGCGGTGTTGTAATGTACCCAACTCTAGGTTTAGAGTGTTACAAAAGCTCTAACTTAATTAGTCAAGAAATCAATAAACCAGTGCTTACAAATGCAAGTACTCGAAATTGACAATAGACTCAAATAAATTGCATCATGGAAGTGTTTTCCAAGTATCATTTTCTTTTGGAGAAATAAGCACCACACAAATCCATGACGCTAAAGTTATCTCGACAGTGAGAAACAAAGAACATATAGGACAGACTATGCAGCTTATTCACAAAAATAAGCAGGAATCAATTATACAGATAACTAGGCTGGTGGCTTAATAACGACTATCTGAATGACTCATTAATTTGCGATGAAGTTGTATCAAGGATTACGTAACCGAAAGCCAAATTGATCTAGATATTGCATGCAAATGTAACAGTCTGAGTAGATGAAACAAATCATACCACACATGCTATTCTGATGAAATGTCAAGGTTCCAGCTGGTGACCTCTGCCTAGAAGAAGCTTCCTTCATACCCCATTCAACAAATGGTATGGATTCTTCAATAGAATATCCACTAGTCCAGGTTACAGTCCTCTGTGCAACATATCAAATGTCATTGGAATATTGGTTAGGTAACCTCTAATTTTCCAGGTGAAGCAAACAACATATGAAGGAAATCAAAGTCGGAATTTTTTTTGTCAAACAAAGTTCTGTCCGGAAGACAAGAATGACTAATTAACTGAAAGAAGTTAGATAGGGGATCAGAGTAATTCTGATTATTATGCTTAGAACTCCATTTGAATTCTCTCAGCTGAAACAGATAAAAAAAGTCCCCTGGGTTTTGCAATATTGATTTTTACCAACTGTGCAAGGAGGGCATCGTTATAGCAATTACTCAATCTGATGAGACATAGAATCGTTTGAGCTTGGTACCCAAAACAGACTGTGTAGGAGATTATGCTGCAGAAATCAATTAATACAGACTTACTTCATTCCAAGACTTCCCCTGAGTGGATAAAGGGGTGCTTTAGGATTGACAAACGATATAGAATTTGAAACTGCCACTAGCTTTGGCTGCAATTTTCCAGCATTGAATTAGTTGACAATGCAATTTTATCCACATTCATTATGACTTTTCAAGGCAAAAAGAAAGGCAATAATAAGAAATTATAAATATGTAAACTTTCAACATATAGGAACAAGATTAGTATCATTTACAGTTGATAGCCCGCCTGAAAATAATGCAAAGGAGAAATCTGCCCGCTGATTTATAAGCTGGAACCTCAAAGAAGCTCTTCCGGTCTTTGCATAACCTAGATTGGAATGGTTTGCAAACTTGTACTGAAATAAAGGGAGTCAAACGTATTATAGAGGAATCCTCCACCCATCAAATTCTAATATCCACTAGATAATTTCACACACCTTTATGGGAGCTGAGCAGATGTATGGAGTCTGTTCCTTTGGATCATCTACTGGTGGACAGGCTGATGAACTGCAACACCAAAACAAAATTACCTCTAAATCGTGAAACAATAAAGAATGTAAAATACTACTGATTATACAATTATACGAACATAGATTGTGATCCTATCCTAACAAGTACAAAAAGTTTGCCGGTTGAAAAGTTAAGGAGGATTACTTGAATTTTGCAGGAGAGAAGACTCCAACCCAATCATCGACAGACGGTTTGGAAGACTCAATATTTACTGTTACCCATTCAGTATCATCACCCTGTGATCAAGAATAAATCACGTAAAAATCAATTTCTTACTTCCAGTAATCCAGCAGCATGTTTTGGACAAAGCAACATTCTATCAGCCACTAGTCTCTACATAAACTCATCCAGTTGAAATAAAGTTCAGACAGATCAAATCTTGAAGGTAACCATGAAATATAGAAGTTGAAAGTTTCAAACTTCAGAAAGTTTCAAACTTCAGAAAGTTTCAAACTTCAGAAAGCTTCTAACTTAGGTTTCTGATCGTCTAAGAACCCAAATTCTCATATAATATACTCATTACATATTGCAGACAGAGAATAAATCAAACAAACTATCCCGCAGAATGCCAGAATCTAAAGAAACCAAGAAAAACAAACAGGGAAAGTAAATAAATTTTGGGGGAAAAGAATTACATTACCTCTAACCCGAGATGGAGAGGATATGCCCTAATCAAGGCCGAACCACTTAGCTCGAGAGTCGTTTTGTAGATATCAATTTGAGCAAGTGGTTGCTCCCCAAATCCATTGATATGAGCCAAACCTAAGCTGAAGCTTGCAGCGAGACACAATAACGCGAAACCCACAACCATTTTTGAGGGTTGAATGCTTTCTCGCATTACACCTTGATGGGATTCAACAAGATTTGGTGAGTGCTCGATACCCTTGCAAATATTCCATCAGTCCTGGTGTATAGTACTGTGTGAAGAGAAGGAGAAGAGATGGAAAGAAATCAAATCGATTTCCCCGGAACAAATCGTCAGTCTCGTTCTCCCTCCCTCCTATTTTTCCCCCTCTGCGTTCACACCGTTTATTTACAGTCTTTATTCACATCATTGCCATGGTTACACAGAATTTTAACCCAAGTGAATTAATTGGGAGTAGAGCCCATGCATGGATAATAATTTGAAAACGACGAAAGATTTCAGCTTTTCAGTGTTTCTCTTTTTTTAGCAAATTATTTAAATAATACGGTGTTTGGAAAGCCTAGAAACTGATTGGACAAAATTGGATGAGTTTTATTTAGTAAGAAGAAAATTGTAAAGGGTGAATTTTTATTATTTGAGAATATTCCACTACATAAATCCATATTCTTAATACAATAACTAACTTCTGGCAGAAGGTTTCTCATTCTGCCAAAGTGATTGATTCACAGCCATCATGAACACAGGCCAAAACATCTCTGTAATCTCTTGAGATCGTGAAGGAATCATAAACCTTCCCATCATTGCTTCTTATGTACTCAAACAACAGATACGAGTTGTTGAATGCCGTCATTTTAACATACCCAAAATCACGGTCTCTGTAAACACTCCAACGGGGAATGTTAGTACTGTAACTTGATAAATGGCTCCCTCCTCCACCGACAACTACATGAATTGTTCCATTCACAGTCCCTGAGTAATTGTGTTTTTCATTGCTCACACATTGGTTCTGCAACAGAGTCACACCCATCAACCAATTGAAGAAGATGAAAAAGACTCAGTTTCCAAAATGGTGACTTTTGAGTAAATTGTAAGGAGTTTGTCTACCTGGTAGATAGGGCAGACTCTTTCATAATTATGGACATGGCCAAAGAATGCAATGTCGACTTTGTATTTCTGCCAGAGCTTCTGCAAGTCATCTCTTCCCATGGGTTCTTGATAGGAGCCTTCGTTAGCATACCAGTCATTGGAGGAATAGCCCAGAACACGGTGACCAGCAAAGATTAACCAAGGTTGTTTCTTTCTGTCAACTGATGCTAGACAATGCTCAAGAAACTTGTACTGTTCTGATCCTGCTCTCCAGTCATGCTCTGTATCAGCTATGCAGAAATGAAACATACCATAATCTGTAGAGTACCTACAATACAATTTCTTTTATCTTATTAGTCCTTGTTGATGTGGCTTGACTAGTTAATTTTATGTGTATATTTTAGATAATATTTTGAGAAAAAGCCCTGATAAAGGTATATAATTCTTTTGGTGATGTCCTCTCATTTTAATCACAGTGAAAAAATTTCTTGATCTTATCCTTAAATATATACATACTTGACAAACCACTATAAATTTTGTGTTTTTTCTTATTTTATTATTTACTTAATGTGGTTGTATGCATATTGAGAGATTTATTTTCTCAATAGTTCTCACTGAAATTGCTTCTTCTGATTTAGCAATATATATTTGCATTACCAGAACTTGGCTGAGTTCTCAGCTGGGTAGTAGAACATGGTTTCTGCCGGGACACCACATTCTCCACCAGAATCATCAGTATCGTAGAAAGATCCAGTGTTGGGAGAGTCTCGTTCGTGATTCCCACTGACGGAGAAATCAAACACATATACATGAGAAAATTCAATTCATAATATAATTTATACATGTAAAACTAGAAAAGAAGCTTACCTTGCAATCATGTAAGGTTTAACAGATGCAATAGGCTCCACTTGGGAAGTGAATTGGTCCCATTGTGAAATGTATCCATTTGCATATGCCAAATCTCCTATATGGAAAACAATGTCATAGTTGTCCAAGTCTCTAACCAGTTGGTCTGTAGTGTTAAGTGAACCAGGCTGGTAATTGGCGTATTCGTTGGAGCCATCGCGCTCTGCCTGAAATTTATTAATTTAAACAAGTGATCCGATGAACATACCTTTTATGAATTGTGAAAAGGAAGTACCTTTCCCATGTCACCAAAAATGATAACTCTCTGTAAAGACTCTTGGCCAGGATAAGGGGATGACTTGAATGTATAGGTCTTGCTCCATACATTGGAACCATCTTCTAACAAGAGATGACCCATCTTGTATGTATACCTGCAAAATTGAACCCAACATCACTACGAAGAAGAAGAAGATGACAAGTAAGAAGAATAAGAAGATAAAGAAGAAGAATGTGTTACAGAGTGTTTGGCCAGAGGTCTTTCAAGAAGCTTGTGTGTGTGAAACCAGGATCGCGCCAGCCAACGGTTCGAGCAGGTGGAGCTGCAAAGAAGATGATCATCATTCAGACAATCCATTAATCTCACCTCATGACCAACTAAGATTCAAGTCAGAAAAATTTTAAATTGTTATGAAAGCTTGCTTACCACACAAGCTATTTCTATGAAAAGTTAATGTTCCAGCAGGTGATAGAGATTTAGGACCTCCTTTCATTGCCCATTCAACCATTGGAACTGCTTCGTTTATGTCATACCCACTTGTCCATGTTACAGTCATCTGTCAACAATGGAATCAACATACCTAAACATGTACATATATATAATAGTCTGTAACTAGTAATTGATTGAACTTACTTCATTCCAAGATTTGCCTTGAGCAAGACGTGGATAAAGGGGTGCTTTGGGATTGGCAAATGATATAGAATTTGAAATAGCCACCAGTTTTGGCTGCACAATTTCACATTATACATATACATATACACATTATTAGAAAATAAACAATGGAGGGAGAAGTGGATATATGGTTTGAATCTCTCTACTCACAGCAGAAATCCCCCCCGAGAACAATGCAAAAGTGAAATCTGAGCGCTGATTTATAAGCCGGAACTCCAAGTTGACCTTGCCGGTTCTTGTGTAATATGGATTGGAATCGTTTGCATATTTGTACTGAAACAAAAATGTACCTTATACATCCATCACCTTAATCTCAACATAAATATTATATATATGTATGTATGTATATCAGTAAGTAGTTACCTTTATTGGAGCTTGGCATATGAATGGTTTTTCCCATTCATGTGAACCTGGGCAGTATGAGGAGCTGCAATACAATCAGACAAAGTTCAGTTAAATCAAATCTGGTTTCTTTTTCTGTTTAAAGTTGAGATTTTTTTCAACTGGGTACTCTGAAAAAGATGAATTTACTTGAAATTTCCAGGAGAAAAAACTCCAACCCAATCATCTGCTGATGGTTTTGAATTCACAATCTTCACCGTCACCCATTCACTATCCTCACCCTGCATTCAAACAGTTTCAGTCAAAGCTTTTTCTAAACAGTTCTATACATAAATACATATACATATACATATATACATATATACATTGAAGCCGAGGACAAAAGGGTAGACTGCAATGGAAGCAGAGTATTCATGGAGGGCAAGAGTGGTTTGAAGAATATTGATTTTGGCCAAAGGTTGTTCTCCTGCTTTTATGTGAGCCAAACAGGCCCTTAGAAAACACAATAACACTAAAATCCTAATCATATTTCCTTTTGACTTGTAAATCTACCCTAATTCATCTCAGCACCAACCCATCTATCTCTCTTTATAAATACACTTTTAATGGTGGAAAATTTACATAAAATGAAGATAAGAAACAACTGTGTATAATAATTTTTATACTATTTATAACAGTACACATTATCATCGAAAATTTCGATGTTATTTAAATTTATTATTTTTTTAGTTTTTTTAAAAAAAAAATATTAGATCAATTTTTTTAAATTAAAATTTTTTCTAACTTAAAAAATTTAATTATCATTAAATATTTATTTTTATGAATATGATCACTATAATCTTACTAATATATTAATAAATTAAATTTTTAATTTTATTAAATTATTATTATAGATCAATTTAATTTCAATTCATAATACATTCATAAAAGTAATAAATTCTATATTTTCAATGTAATTAGAACTTGTAATATTTAAATAAAATATAAAAATTTTATATATTAGACTGCCGTCTTAAACATTATTCATTTAATTTTTTAATGATAAAGTTATATATTGTAATAACCGTCACACAATATTTTTTTTCATCTAAATACGTTATGATTTATAGGAATCAAACCGAATCTAGTATCATAATTTAACTAATACACTAATAAGTTAAATTTTTAATCTCAGTTGCATTAAGTATTATAAATCTGTCATTATTAATTTATAATATATCATCTAAATCTTTTTATTTAATATATTGGTCATAAAGTTATGTACTATTATTACTATGTATATACACGTGTAAAGATCGTTCGCGTGTGATGCTAATTATTATTTTTCTTTTATTAACACTATTATTAATAGGCTACACATATATAAACTAAGTAAGTATTTGTCGATTGAGATAAACTTAAAATTATTTTGGCTCGATTTTCGCGTGTAATGTTAGAAAGCATTATTTTATTCCATAAGAATTATAAACAGAAAATTATAATATTTAATTAATATATATCAGATTTTTTGTTTGGACCGAGCCATCCTTATGGACTATTAAAAATATTTTATAATGATTTTTAATTTGAATAATCATAAAATATTAAAAATTATTATACTTAAATATTATATTCATTAAAATACAGATAATCTCAAGTCTAAACTGGAAACTCAGTAGTCGGCCGGCCATGGCTGAATCTATTTATTAAATTATTATTGCTACATATATATATATATATATATTATGATGGTCAACTGACATTCATTTAATATAAGTGGTTCATGGATGGGCGTGAAATGGAGATCCCTTTATCTCAGCCGACAAAGTCTGGAATTATTATAATAAAAAATGAATATTAAACAATACAGATCACAAGATGAAATCAAGGAAATCCAATTCCCCCGTATCCTTCGTTCAAGGTTCACTTCAACTTAAACTCTAAAACCAAATATACACCCTCCTTCTCAACTACTACATATATATATATATATATATATATATACATCACATGAAGGATGGCTCAAATTTTTAATTGGGTATTAAAATTACACAATCAAACTATTTAAAACACTTTGTAATATTTAAAAATAATTTAAACAAAGTCCAAGATAAATTTTGTATTTAAATAATTAATCTTGTTTTTCCCAAAAATACATACTTGAAGAATCACATCTACAACAGCCAGCAAGTAGCAACCAAACAAGAGAACCCACAATTTTAAGATCTCCAAACATGCATGTCAAGCTCCAATCCAAATACCCTCTAATTTGTAAAACCACTATTTTCTGCTCAATTTTTTTTTTCTACAAAAAAACTTCATATTTGTTGCAAATGTAAACATCGTTAGAAGAAAATGGGAGACATGGCACCAGATCCCATCCATTTATATACACAAACTGAAACAAACCATGTTCGATGTTCCTATTTCAAAATCTTGCCATCATCTGATCACATCCGGCAAAATCTACTTTTGTCATTTTCATAGTAAATTTTCACAACCTTGACTGCACGGTATGATGATCACTCATGGTCTATCATTTGTAAAAGGATATATAAAACACAAAAAAGAAAATGGAAGTATCACTCTTGTGAGAGGCAGTCACTCTACCAACCTGATTCTAAATTCCTTCACTTGGTAGAGGTTTGAGGCCTTGAGAACACAGGGGCAAGTTTTTTCTCCAGCTCCACTAAACTGAAATGTCAAACAAAACAAATGAAAAATAGTTTTTTTATACAGATGCAATTAAAGTATGAAAATTTTTATAAAACTTACATCTCATATTTGCGTAAAGCTTCATTTCGTTTTGTGATGTACAAATCACTATCTTTTGGTATATTGCTCAAAGGGTTGCCTGAAAATGTTCGAAAAGAAAATACAGCCAGTTAATGAGAACCAGAAGAAATACATAAAATTGAATCCATTCTATGCCCTCATGACATCAGTATTAAAAACAGAGTTTTTTGAAAGGGCTCAGTTTGGAAAGGAAGAAGAGGGGAAGATACAATGAGGGAAATGTGATAAACACAGGAAATTGTTAGTTTGATTTCTTCACCTTGTCAATTCATGAGAGAGATGTCATAAACACAGGAAATTGTTAGTTTGATTTCTTCGTCTTGTCAAGTCACTAAGACATTCTACCCAACAAGTATTTTGATAAGAGGACCAAACACCTATTCCCTCCCATCCTCTTCCCCCATTCCCAACCTTGATATTAGTAAGTCTAAAACTTTGATCAATAGACAAAGATCAGTTGTCAACGAGGGCTACAAGTATACCTGCAATAAGCCTATAACACCAGTCACTTCCTTTAAAGAGGACATTTTTACACCATTGAACCCTCCCACCACCACCACCACCAAGGAAAAAGATTTTTTTTTTTTTTTTAGATAACCAAGGAAAAAGAATATATCAGGATTTTTGTTCTTTTTTTTGGCAAATGAAAGAGAATATTTTAAGTCGCAAGTTGGTGTATATACAGAAGAAGCAACTCAGATGGAATTTGGTTGCAACTCCATAATTTTATCCACATTAGCCATTTTTTTTTTTTTTTTTACATGTAAATCTTGCCATAGAATTGTGAAAGAAAAACGCTGGAGGAATCATACTTGAATTAGTGACTGTAGGTTTGACAATATCCTTGTGAACTCTTAGAGCAGTTTCTTTGCTGGGTTGCTGTAAACCCTGTTCAAGCAAAGCATTACCATCGTAAGGGCTATAACAGCAACAGGTAATACATAACAGTCAAGTGACATTTATAGGCATAGATCATTCTTAGAAGTCATTAGAAACATGTGAAGGCATCCTAATTCAATATTATGATTATATGCAGCATCCAATTGCCAATTTGGAGTAAAACTTGAAAAATTATAGAGAACTAAGAAAAAAAGATGCTCAATACCTTCTTTTCCTTTCTTTTTAGAATCTTTAAATGACATTTCTTGATGTAGTGCATCAGATGGTAGCGGGAATGCCTAGAGCACAGCTGTTCTTTGACTTGTGGATTTGCAGCTAGCCAGTCAGAGATATCTTTAGATTTTACCACATCATCTTGATCCAAAGACTCTAACCATGAATAAACTGGTATCCATTGATCAGTTCGTTGAAATCGAGCAGGTGGAAGATCCACCTGACTTGCCTCCTTTTCCTGTCATAAGTAACATTACAACCATAACTATTACATTTATATTTGTGGCCATGAAGAAAGGTAGACAAAAAATAGCTTGACTGAATGATAAGTTCTCAGGATATAAACTTCTATTGAAGAATTTAAGGTGACTATATAGACACCCCTTCTCATACCCTTGTAGTCCCAAAATTAACAAGACAAGAAAACTTATCAATTTGATGTCCTAATTATAAGTTCTCCACAAGAAAGAAGTACCTCATATTCATTCAAACCCATGAAACACAGCTAAATTCTTTGCAAATCATCTAGAGTTTTTCAATGGTTATATGATAAGTAAACACAATCATTTCTGAAAGAATATGGATTCTGGTGATACAATTCCGTAATTGAGTATATTCCCATTAATGCAATACTTAATCCACTTACAGCCAAATATCCCGCGGACTAAAAGAACAAAATCATGTAAATTAATGCCTTCCTCCATCCAAAATCAAATCATGTCTTAGCGAAATCAATCATGTCATATTTTACCTAAATTGAAAACCATCATAACTCTTCCAACACCCCAAAGCCACATTCTTATTCTCCAGGATTTCTATTTCCCACAAAACTAGTTAGAACCATAATTCTGAGAACATTCCTGCCTGTATTATATCGATAAACATCCTCTCTTTCTTTTTCCCCACAATGAACCTCAACAACCCAATTAAACCATGGCCGTTTCCAGCAACCACAAACAGATATTGCAACCAACAACAGGCATCCAGATGTCAAGATTGCTAACTATACAAATTTTCTTATAATATCAAATTTCCATTCCAAACAACTTGTTCGCTGTAAATTACCTCTTCACAGCCAAGCCATCTAAAAGCATCATCTAAAATGTTCCCCAAAAAAAAAAAAAATGCACCATTATGTTAACTTGAGTCCAGCAAAAGACACTGAAGCAACTATAGATTCATTGTCAGTTATTTATCCCAATTGGCATTCTACAGTAACTCATTCCATCTTAGACACCGTACACACATGGATCATTAATTACAAACTCAAGATTATTCTTCTTGTCTTGTAATTCAGACTTTCCAGTTAATTATTTAAAGAGACAAAATCATTTCCAACATGCAATCAATACAGCACCTTCATAATTCAAACAACCGCATTCCTGTCGTTAACCACCAATCGAAACCTCTCATGCCACAACCTTTTACAAACAGACCACCTTCACGCTCCAATTTTCAATCTTAAAAAGATTTAAGTGAAATTTCCAAAAAGAAAATAATTAAAGCAAAAAATTAGAAAGAAAACCCGCAGAAAAACAAGAGGAAAGATTGCAATTCTAGAACAAAGGGCAATAGCGAGAATAACACCTCACGCTGGTCCAGTGGCCTCATGTAATGCTGTATGGACAGAAGACGATCAATGACGTCCGATCGAGGCATGGATTGCAGCTCTGCTGGCAAGAAGGCGTGGTTGGAATCGATCCAAGCTTCAATTTGGCTCTCAGCCACGGCCTTCGCCTCCGGGAACGCGCAGAGCCAAGCTTCAGCCATGGTCTTCCATTCTTGCGACTGGTCGGTCTGATGATTATCATTATTAGGGTTTTGATCGGAGTCCCTGCGTTCCCCTCCTAGGGCTTGCTCTCTGGAATTTGAGTCTGACATTCTTGCTTCGATGCCGCGAAACGTATAGTAGAATTTTTAGCTTAATTTTAAAACGAAAGTGATTAGAAATTTCGTAATTCACTTTTTTTTTAAAAAAAAATACAAAAATTAGGAAGGAAAAGGCAAAGTACGGAAAATATCCCGAATTTTAATATAATTTTTTAAAGCATTATATGAATATATATTTAATTAATTAAAAATAAAATTTTATTTCAGAATTTTTATATTATTATATTAATTTCATTTTTAAAATAAAAAATTAAATTTCTAATATTTCTTTTAATTTATGTTAAAATTAAAAAGAAAAAAAAAAGAAAAATTTGTGCGAATTTTATGAAATTTTACAGCAATTTCTGTAATTAGTTTGAAAAAAATTTAAAGTTTAATTCCACGCAATACTAATTTGAGCCATATTGTAACTCTATTAGAAATTTGCTTTTAGATTTTGTATATTTATAATTTTTTTTTGTAAGTAAATAATATTATAAGATGTGTTTGGAACATATTATATAAAAAAAATGATTAAAAGGCAATTTTTAAAGCAATTCAATAAATAAATATCTTTTAGTTCACGTATTTATTAATGATATGCAAAGTCGAAATTATAAAATTAAAAAAAAAAATTATTCGGTAAAGAAATAATTAAATTTAAGTATATTTTAATTAAACTAAACTTCGTAATTTGTTTCCAAAATAGGAAACTGGAAGGGAAGGGAAGGGAAGGTTTGTGGTGATTTGGTACATCACAGAGATCATGATAAGATGTGTATCTGCGTTTCACTTTCCTATTTTCTACACTTTCTCCACCATATTTCCCACTAGCTGCATTTGAATTTTTTAATTAAAAATAAAAGAAAAATTCATATTTTTTCTTTTTTAAAAACTACTTTTTGTAAAGCAAACCCAAACAAAAATAATAATTAAAAGTTGTGGCATCTAGAACTAGCAGGGAGTATTGGTTGGCCTTTGAGAAGTGGGTGACCATTTCAACTCTCCAATTTTCACAAATCAAAAATAATAATTTCCCTTTCAAAACTTTAAAACTAAAATTAAACCTCTAATATCTTTGAACCATTTATCATAAAGCCTCTGTATCTATGTACACCCAAAAATAAAATTAAAATTAAAAAAAATAAAAACACCGAATATTCTTTTTTTAAAGAACGGAAAAGGAAACCAAATCAAGTGGGTCGAGTTTAATTTGGTTTAATCACCCAACCGCCTCGTTCTCAGCCTCTTCAATCCCCGCCATTCCTCCGCCGACGTCGCCGTCATTGCCGCCGCCATTCTCCTCCACCCATCTCTCGATCGGTACACACTCCATCTTATGCCGCAGCTTCCAGTCCAGCGCTTGGCACGCACGCGAGCAATAGTTGACGGTTCCACAAACCGAGCATCTCCTGAACTCATGCGGTCGGGTCTCCGGCCGACCGCAACCGTTATGCGAACACAGTCTGAGCCCCTGGCCCACAACGCCGCGCCCTGACTCGAACCACTCCTTTAGAAACACGTTCACCGGGTGAACCTCCGGGTCCGGCACGTTGCACCCGAAATCGCTCAGTAACGGACAACCCGTACCCGTCGGGCACGACACGTACTGCTGGGAGTACTGTCGAGGTGGATGGAAAAAACGATGATGGTGACACGTCAGCATGGAGCGTAACGACAAGGCAAGCTCCCGCGCGTTGGCCTGGATGAGTAGCCGGCGACCCTCCGCCACGTTCTGCGCCACGCCGTAGCCGTCTTGTAGGCAATGTCCCAGCTCGCGCAGCGCGTCGATGTGGCCGAGGGATGCAGCTCGCGCGCACAGCGCCACGCCGGCTCGAAGATTCTTGTCGGACTTGGAGCCGCCGCTGCCATTGAATTGTATCACCGATAGCGAGTATAGAGCCGGCGAGTGGGATTTCACGGCGGCTTTAGCCATCAAAGATGCGCCGCTCCCTCTGCTTTGCAAGCAGTAGAAACGGATCTACAACGACGTAAACAAAACGTCAGTTTCTGAATCATATTCGTTCATGGCTAATTAACAGAAAGTGGTAAATAAACTGTACGTGTATATACCATGCCAAGAACGTAGCAAGCTTCGGTGTTGCCGGCGGAAACGCACTGTTTAAGGAAACGGTGGGCGGAATCCGACCAGCTGGTGACTTTGACGGCGAGTGCTTTAGGTCCAGCTCGGGATAAGACTAGAGGATGGAGGGCTAACCGATTCAATCTCTTGCATCTGCGGGGGAAAATTCATCGCGGTTAGAGTTTATTAACGAGAACCCATAAAAGTTATAGAGGAACAAAATCAAATAGTAAGATAAAAAAAGTACGTGATGAGAATGCTGATGAAATCAGATGGGGAAGAAGCAGAGGAGCTAAGCTTGGCGAGGATGCAGACGAGAAGATCGTCTGGTAATCCATCAAAGAGATCAGGTTTGCTAGAGATTCTTTGCTTTTTCCTCTGCATCATCCTTTCGATGATGGAAGGAAAACGAGAGGGTGATACGGGGGGGAGTGAAAAAAATAAAGGGTTATATAGAAGGGAAGAGATTTGGTTTATAATATTTACCGGCGAGAGTATTGAGGTTGGATGGTTATGGCGACTGTTGATGCGGCAATTGGCAAAGATGTCTGGTCAAAGTGGCCCCCTGAAGCAGCCAGCACACTTATTGCGTACGATTTGCCAATACGACAAAACACTGATTAGCTTTTTAGTTTTTACTCTCCCATTTTATTTATTTTCCCAATAAATATTTTAATTAAACCCTTAATATTAATAGCTCCCTTTATTTTTTATTTTTTTATTAAAAAAAAAAATACATTGTAAAAAGATACCCTTTACTTATTTTAACAATAAATAATTTGATTTCAATCTAATTTTATATATGTAAAAAACGGACTTTAGATTAAACTATATTATAGTACTTTTATCATTCGGATCTGGGTAATACCAAATGTCACTGTTCACCATCAACAAAACCTAAATATAAAAAAAAAAAAAAAAAAAAATCAAAACGCGACGTTTTATTAAACATTCGGTAACGAAAATATGATAAATATATAGTATAATTATATTGTCTGTGCACACAAATGATCCAAGTATAAATATCTCATTTTCTTCAAAAATTCTCATTTAAATCAAACCCTAATAAAGTTTTATCTCTGGCGGGTGGCTATGCTGAGTCTTTGAAGGAAGGAAGATTATATTTCTATATAGTTTATTATTGATATTTAAGAAGATTAATTAATGAATCTGTAAATTTTCCAATGTGGTCCCTATATGAGTTAATTCTTTTTATATAGACACTAATTTTAAATTTTATTTTTGAATAAAATAATTGAAATTTTAAAATTTTTTAATTATTTAATTTAAACCAATATTGTTTATATTGAGTTGGAATTCTAAGGCGAAAGTTTTTTGTAAGTGAGGTTGAAATTGTGGGATGGATTTAGTAATGGTGGAAACGTGACAGACATGCGGACAAAAGAGATAAATTAAGTAATTAAAAGTTAATTGCCTTAATTAACACGTCCTAATAGTAATTAACGTTGGGTTAATCCTCGGGTTTCTGTAACCGCAACAGTATAATTAACGTGACCCCTTTGCTTGCCTATCAATTAACACACATCATTAATGTGGGGTTAATCACTTTTTTTATTTCTTTAATCAATTTTCCTAAATATAACTACCTACGATTTAAGGATTTGTAATTCACATTATATAAAGATTAGTAAAAGTACTAATTATTAAATAAATAAATATTTTTTTTTTTTTCCAAAAATTTATACGATCACAATGAAAAACAAATTCATTTTTTTCATCTTTATTCTGGGTGTCTCGATATATCCGTGACTGGTTAATTAATTTTACTACCATATATATTAACATTTACCCACCATTAATATTCATATACATATATATATATACATATATAGATATAGATATAGATATAGGTAGATATGTAATTAAGAATACTACCAAATATAAGTGAAGGAGATGGCGACGAGCATATGACTCTCTCGTCTGGATTCTTGCCAAAGATGTGGTGGGCTCCATGCATGCGTTTTTCAAATCCATGCAAATTAAAATTTCCTCCCTCCCCAAAGTTTCTCTCTTTTTCTCAGCAACCAAACAAACCAAAATACACACATATATAATATATTTTGAATTTAAAATGATATTTTATATGCACGGAATTGACTAAACAACCCTTGAAAATTATAAATTATTATTGTAAAATTCATCTATTTTTAAAATTTAATATTATAAATCGATCATGTTTATAAAACTGAGAGAAGTTGACTAATTAATCGTATTGTGCTACATATATTTGGTCAAACAATATCTAAAATTTTCTAAAACAATATTTAAAATTTTGCCACATGTACGTTTGGTAATTAATTATACAAAATTTATAAACTCTTTACAGTAACATTTAATTTTTAAAGATGGTATATATATATTTTTTTTTCTTAGAGATATTCTTAAGTATATGTGTATGTATATTAGTTGTTGGAAGTTAATGATTAAAAATAGCAAGTTATATGTATGTATGTAATAGTATATAGCCGTCATTTACCAAATCTTGCTAATCCTTAATGATGATGCATGCGAATTGGCAATTAGCTATTATACTTAATTAAGTCGAGATTAGCGAGTTAGTGTTGTAACAGGGTAGGTGAAAATGAAAAGGCTATATATATATATATATATGTCTCCTTATCTCTATTCTTATCTTTTAAATGAGTGTGTTTGTGTGCGTCTATGTATAAGACATGTATATATATATGTGGGTCTGTATATGTTGATATAAAATCTACAAGCAAAGTGCAAGTTGGAAGGAACATATCCATCCAAGTTGAGAATAGAAGGAGAGAGTTTTGCGAATCAAGTTATAGAAAGAGAAAGAGAAGATATTTTAACTGTGGGGTCACTAAATTTAAAGAAATAATTGAAATATGTATGTATATATATATATATATAAATAATATAATATAATATATTAATAATAATAATAATAATGTAAAATTTGGATAATTAATAAAGATTTGGATAAGGTATGAGGAGGATGTGGAGTTGGTGAAACACAAATTCCTTTGCTTAATTTTATCTTTTTATGGCGGCTTTAAAAAAATAAACTAACACAAAAAAAAAAAGATTTAACTTATTAAATAATTATTAATCTATTATATAATTAAATTAAACATAGTTTAGCATACCATAAAATTAGACCCATAATAGTAAATATAAATGTATATATATGTGTACATATAATAGAAATTCAATTAAGGTGTGAAAAACATGTGTACCACTTTATGTATCGTAGCGTACGCAAACAAATTAAGAATAAATAAAATGTCAATTAATAATTAAACATGATAAATTAGAAGCGAATATTCAAATTATAAGTTTCTAATTTTTAATATATATAGTATTGTTGAAGATTAATTCGGTGTATAAATAAAGAAAAGGGGCTTAAACATGATATTATATATATTATTATTCAACGATGAATATATATATATATATATCAATCAATGACTTTCACTTAAATTAAAAAGGTCACTAAAACCACAAGTTGAATATATGTCTTTATATATGTTCCCAAGAGCTACATAATTGCGATTAAAACATGTCAAAAAGTAAAAAGACTATATATATATATATATATATATATAAAACTAAATTCACATTAATTAATTAATTAATTAATATGTCATGGTGGAGAAGTAAGTACTTGTAAGTGATTACAATTGACGTATTTCTAAAGGTACTTAAACTTATTAAAAAAAAAAAAAAAAAGAAGGCGTTGCGTAATTTTGGTGCACCTCTTATGCACATGGTCTTTTTCACACACGTCATTTGGTTACACATATATATAAACAAATATATATATGTGTGTGTGTGTAAGACATGTATGTATATAATATAATATATAGTAAGATGTTTATTTTGCGTATTAATTATGGGTTCTTTTCATCTCATTCAATTATATAATATATATATATACAAGGAAGTCATATTTGGTGTTTCATGGCCAAATTTCAAGAATTTTATTCATTTGCGTCCTCATCAATAATTGTAAGTTGCGTGTTACTTGCAAACCTTTTTTTAATTTTCATCTTTCTCCCTAAGTAATCACCATACATATGTATATATATATATATATGTGTGTGTGTGTGTATGTTTATGCATATATGTATACAATCCTATTAACTATGTATGTGTATATATATATATACATGTATATCGACGTCAACCCATAAAAAATATGTGTAACTAAATTTAAATTTAATTCGGAGATGTTGGATGTTTGTTGTATAATGATACGTGCATGTATGTAATGAATATTTAAGTATTAAAGAATGAGATCACACGTACGTATAGGAGACAAACATGCTTGTATATCAACCCTACCCCTCTATTTGTATAAACACTTTACCCATCAACACAAGCAAACCTAGCTATTACATAATCATCCACATGTATACTATCAATATATATAATTCATTTTTCTTCTTCTCTCAAAACGTATATACATATATATATATATATATATGCTTATAACAAATAAATCAATTTTTTAAAAAAATTATATTTCATTAAAGTAAGATGATTAAATTATATAAGAAATAAACAGACCGATTAATCAAAAAATTAATTAAGAATATCTAAACAACTAAAAAAACTCTCCTAAATAAGACACGGACGAAAGAAATTTTAGAATTTAAAATTTTGATATTTTAATTTTTAAAAAAATTTTAAAGTAAAATAATTACATAAAAAATTGTATTCGAGGAAAATCGTACGTACATTTTGAATAAAAATCTCTTGTATTTTTTGAGATTCACACTGTAATATGAGATCAAAAAATTAAAATAAATAAATTTAATTCTATTCAATTTATATTATATCAATTTAAATAATATTAATAATAAAAATTAAATATGGAAAATAAAGTGAATTAATTAAAAGTAAAATTTTTTTGTATGATTGATGTTCTAGCTAATCTCACACACGTATATATATATATAAAATCAAATATGGGTGGCCAAGTCAAGGCAATAGTACAGTA